CTATGAGTCAGTATTGACTCGATGGCAGTGAGTTTCATAAGCTATATCCCAGTAAACTCTGTTGTGTCAATCAGGATTCACTCACAGTCTAATCATTAGAAAATGAACCCGGTCCTCCAATTGAAAATTCAGAGTATGGTGGGATTCAAAATAGTTGAGTAGTAGCTAAACAAGACCCTCAAACTCAGGTCCGGTGAATCTACAGAGACAGTAAGGAGAATAAGAGTTCCTGGGGGGTGTGGCAGGGAGGGCATGTAATGGATAGTTGATATCAAGGAGTACAAGAAGGAAGAAAATGTTTTGAAAATGATTGTGGTAGCAATTGTACAACACTGTCTGATATGACTGAACAATCGAATGGTATGTCTGGATTATGTCCTAATAAAATTATTTAATTTTTTTTTTAATTTCAAGATCTAGGCAAGGGTGCTTTTCTCTGTGAACCATAATGTTCATGTCTTCCCAAGGTTGGGAAAATATAAGCACTCATGATAATCAAATAGCTATCAGTAGCAAGTCATGGATACAAGTTTCTTTGTTCATGTTCATATCATGTTCTTTGGAAGAGAGAAATTCGCTCACAGATCCTACTGAGCACAAGAAAGGAAAAGAACAGGCAGGAAAGGGAAAATGGGAATCTGCCTACACATATATTAGATCTGACAGAGTAAATCTGTGTGTGTGTATGTTTATTTACTGAAAATATATTCGCATCATGTGATGGAATATACAGGGGACAAAGTTATGAATAATTTTGAGATAATGAACACCTTGAAGTTGCTGGGCCTGAGAGCTTATAACCATCGTCTTAAGGGACACCAAAATCCATTGGCATTACATAATAGACAAAGGCAGTGTTCTACATCCTACTTTAGTGAGTAGTGAGTGGGGTCTTAAAAGCTCGTGAACAGACATCAAAAGTGCAACTATTGTTTTCTCCTCATTTAGAAGAAAAGAGTGATGGGAATCAAAAGATACAATGGAAACAGTTAATCCATGGATTACTGGACCACACAAACATCAGTCTCCGAAATCCTGAGAACAGAAGACCTAGATGATGCATGGCTACCACTACCAATTGCTCTGAAAAGGACCACAGTAGACGGTGCTGGGTTAAGTGGGAGAAAAATGTGGAACAAAGCCATGAAAGAGATCATGCTTATAGTCAGATAGAGACTGATGAGACCCCCAACGCCATGGCCATTAGTTACCCTTCAGTTATGGACTGAACTCACCCCTATTAGAATAATCAACCATGTAAGGTCAACAGGGCATCGTTTACCAAATAGCAAAGTTCAGAAGGTTAGGGAAGGGGAGGAAAGGCCACAGGAAGCAAAGGGATGAAGTGGCCTCAGCGATGGTATGAAAGGGTTGCAATGAATGAGTTGAAACAAAATGTGAATGAATACTTGAATATAAAACTATGACCTGCTCTATAAATCTTTACCTAATTCAAATTTTTAAAGTTTTAGAAACAATTGATAATGGGTGGTGATAACATCAGGTCATGAAATGTTGGCATCTTTACATAATTGCAAATCACTGGGAATTATGACCCAGTCAAATTGACACAACTTTAATCATCACAACCAGTCTTACTCTTCCTGCACATTCTGGCACTTCTCACTGTCAAAAACATATCAGTATTCCACAGGATAGTCAGACGGTATATTTTTCACTGTGCCAAAAATGTGAATTTCGAATGAGATGTTCAATAGGTGAGAAGTCACTGTATACCACAGTCCTAAATAGTAGTTCTTCACTATAAAATTCCATTGACAACAATTTTAACACTTTTTAGAGCATTTCACCATACTAGCGTTAATTAAACCTTTATACTAAGCATTTGGTTCAACAATTAAAATGGCGTCACATTATTTTGTCTGGCCTTGTGTGATTGAGTTAATCTTTGACGTGTTGTGCACCATTGATAGAGGATTCCTTGTTCCCCATGCTAACAAAAAGATTGACTGTTAAGACCCACCACACGCACTCCAAGGGTAAAAGATATAGCAATTTGCAGCCAATAATAATTATAACCTTAAAAACCATAAAAAGCAATTCTACCCATCACATAAACCTGCTAGGAGTAGAAGCAACCCCCGAGAAATGGGCATGTTTGAGGTTTTTTTGTGCATGTATATGTGTGTGTTTTGCACCACTGATGATTTATATATCAGCAGACAGAACTATATAAATCCATGCTTCTGTATTAAAATCACTAAACAAAATCAACATTACAAGAGTCCTGGAGGGTTGTCAGGTAGTAATAGATTCTCAAGTACAGAGAAATCAGCAAGGTGGTCAGTCTAATCCCAATGAACAAAAGTATTTTCCTCAATTCTGGACATTCCACAAAGTCATCTACCTCCTCCTCCTCTATTTACTAAATGATTGATCAAAAGATGTTAAGAGATGTATTTGTCTGTATGTTTGTCATTATCCATTTGTGGGGTTGCTTTTTTATTGTGGTAAAATGTCATTTTAATTGACAAATAATCATTTAAGTGTACAATTTGGTGTAATTTATTAGCATGTGTACAGCCATCATCATTATTGATTTACAAATGATTTTTGTCACTCGACATAGAAATTCAGTACCCTTAATAACATCCATTTTTCTCCTGTTCTCATTGTCTGTCAAACACTAATAAACAATGGCCTCCATGCATTTTCCTATTCTAGATAATTCATGAAAATAGGATAGTATATTATTTGAACATTTTGACCTTTGTAGTAAGCTTGATGTTCTCAAGGTTAATGCGTATTGCTCCTACATGTTTCACAACTTCAGTTCTCCTCATAACTGAATGCTATTCCATTGCATGGATATACCACATTCTTTCATCTATTGATGGTGGGTGTTTTCATTTGTTTGCTATTATGAATAATTATGCAATGTATAAATTTCTGTTTAATTCCCTGCTTGCAGTTCTTTGGGGTGTACACATCAGAGTGGAATTCCTGAGTCACATGGTAACTCTCTGTGTAACTTTTGAGGAACCATGAAACTTTTCCACAGAGAATGTGTTTATTTACATACTCAGCAGTAATGAGCAAAGGTTTTAATTTTTCTTATCCTCACCAAGACTTAGTACTTTCCATTTATCTAATAATAACCATCCCTGTGGGTATTGTTTGTTTCTAATAGGATTAGAAACTATCAGGATTAATATAAAAAAAACACAAACATGCTAAGAAAAGTTTCATTCATAGGGTCTAATTTTTGTGCTGAATAAAGTAATATGTGAGCATACTTTCTTTAAATAATTCTAAGAATATTCTTTTATTTTCTTTTACTATAGAGAGAACATTTACTTATACTTTAATGAAGCATTTTAAGATTCACCTTCTAGATTCTTATCTAGTTGGTTTTAGCTCATTGTGACCCCACACGTTGCAGCACAGAACTGCTCCATAGGGTCTTCTTGGCTGTATCCTTTACAGGGCAGATTGTCAGGCCTTTATTCCTTGGCACCACTTAAGGTTAATAGTCGAGTGCAAGCCGTTTGCACCACCCTGGAACTTTCTTCTAAAATAATGGTTTCACATTATAACAGTAATAAATAACATAACATACGGACACCTGATGCTCAGCATTTATTTTTTGACAATTATATACATAGGATTTCATGTAATATGCGCAGAACACTAAAAATACAGATTATATTACAAAATAAACACTAAAATAGTCTGGCATTTTACTCACTGATGGTGAAATTTATTTACTTTCACTTTTTAAATTGTTATTAATGTTTTTAAAAGCAGTAAAAAATTGAATATGCTTTTTATTATTTTGCAAAGTATTGGTTCAAAAGATGCTCCAGTTATATATTGTTAATCAATAATGCACACTGTTGTGAGTTGAATTGTGCTCCCCACAAAAGATATGCTTAAATCCTAACTGCCTGTACCTGTGAATATGATCATATTTGGAAATAAAGTCCTTGCAGGTATAATTAATTAAGATGTATTCATACTGGATTACGGTGAGTCTTAAATCCAGTATGATAGGTGTTCTTATAGGAAGAAAAGACAATATAAGACTGGTTCACAGGGAAGAAGGTTATGTGTAGACATAGGCTGAGACTAGAGTGATGCACCTACAATCTAAGAACACCACAGATTTCAAGAAATCCCCAGAAGCAGGAAGAGGCAAGGAATAATTCTTCCCCAAAGCCTCGGAGAACATGGTCAAGCTGGCATCTGGATGTCAGGCTCTGGACTCCATAATCATGAGTTGATAAACCTGTGCTGGTTCAAAGCACCAGCTATTGGTACTTAGTTATTGCAGCCCTGGACAGGGGGTGGATGGGGGTTACTGTTGTTGCCATTGAGTGCATTCCAACTCCTAGCGACCTGGTAGAACTGCCCTAGAGGGTTTGCAAAGCTACAAATATTTAACAGAGGCAGACTTCACATCTGTCTCTTACAGAGCAGCTGGTGAGCTCAAACGACCCACTTTGGGGTTAGTAGCTGAGTTCTCCCTTAGGGAATAATACATACATACCCCCAAACCTAATGACTTTAGAAGTACTGTATTATTTCTCACAATGCTTGCAATTGACTAGTGCTCTGTGCGATGGTTCTTCACATTCATGTCAGACTTTAAATACAAAGCCTACATGAATTCTATTACACACAACTTTGACTTCCTGGTGCTGGGAGGAAAGGAAAGGAACGAGGCTCTGAACCACAGTCATAAAATGCACAGTAGAGGGAAGGGAAGAGCCCCCGCACTGATTCAGCAGTCTCCATTTCACCCAAACAAAATAATTATCAGAGTACCTGATGAATAAAATTCTGTATATCAAGTCATTAGCAGTGACCTCAATTCATTCTCTAATTATAAATTTCTTATGGTCAATCTCCAATTTCTTGGTCTGCACCCGATGCTAAATGCCAGTACTGAATAGAGAATGTTAAGGAGCACAAAGTGTCTACTGGAGCAAAGCTGAAATGTACCTTAACTCGATGGGCACTGTATGCCTACTATTTCATCATGTGCTTTTTGTGAAAAGGAATAATCTGTCTGGCAGAAACAGAAAGCAATTATTGGGATCCTTTTGCTTTTAACCAATCCACAAAAAGAAAGCTAGACAGGAAAAAGAATCACATCAAATTATATTGGTACCTAATTATAACAGTAACTAGTCACACAGAAAATTGCTTCTCAACCTTTTGGCCAAGATCAAGTGTAGTGAAGAATCACACAGAAATTAGGAAAGAAATCTCATGCTTCCTCCATGTACCCGCAAAGGGGAGTCCCTCAAACACAGAAAATGCTTAACATCGTACATTTTAGGAATGAACGGGTGTGTGAACTGATCCCATAATAAGCTCACTAGGTGACAGCCAACTGACAAGTTCCACGGGCATCCCTTACGAAAGATGTACAAACACAAACAAACAAACAAAAACCCAAATGACCTGTGCCTTTCACAGTGGGTCTCCGTCTAACCACAAGTCCCTGGAGAATGTTCCATTCAAAAGTAGACCTTCTTCATCTCACAAATTGATCTTTGATGAGCATCACAATGGGCATCATTCCAGCCCCAGCTTCCTCTAACAGAATTTATCATAACACACTGCTCATCACGATGACTGGGTTCACCAGGACGCCAGAATCTGGAAGGGAGGGAAGGGATGGTACGACTTCTTCACACTGTGTTTGAAAAGGTCAGAGGCTGAGGGAGCTGAGGCTGAACATGTGGAATCTAGGTCAAGTAGGTCCAATCATTTCTTCCCCGTTCTCATTCTGCCCCCTTCTGCAAGGCCCCCCAATTGTAAGCAACTTCTCCTCCATCTCTGGACTTTCCCTTGAAAACTGACACCACGCGGAATTCCGCTATGTTAAGAAATCCAGAACACATTAAACACCTTCCAAACAGTCACCCCAGAGACCCCCGTTTACTTCTTCATCCTTGATCTGTTCTCAGGGGACAAGCAAACCTGTAGCATTTCCTTAAGTGATGAAAGGGCTTCCTCCAGGTCCCAAGTATCAGTAGCGTTTTGTTCTTCATACATTGATTTTGCAGTCTGGGGAACTAGTTAAGATTGCTAGACCTGCTACTTACTCCCTATTATCTTGGCCAAATAATTTAATCTACTTGAGTCTTAAGTCTCCTACCTTTTAAAGGGGATTAGGTAATATCCACCTATACCTGACACATTTGCATGAGGGTCAAAGGTGGTAAAGTTATCTAAAGTAAATGGGAGTTATATTAAGATGATCAGAATTTTGTATTTTGCAATATGATAAAAATTGTTAATTAATTATGATCTATTTTTGTTTTATTTAGAGATATAAATATGGTTAAAAGCACAGACTTCAGTGACAAATAAACATGAGGTTTGCTTTTCTTAAGCCTTTTTTTTGTTTTTGTTTTGGTTGCTGCTGTATTTTAGTGGCTAGGAGCTGGGGTTGCCCGGTGTGGGGCAAGATTCAGGATTCTTTATGGAGTTCTGTACTCACGTGGTGCTCTCGTTGTACGGTGAGCCATCTACCCATTGCCACTGGTTCTTCCCTTCTGGGTCTGACAGCCCCACGTAGTAAGCAGATGATCCTTCCAGGTTCCTGGTGATGAAATTCTGAGAGAAGAAAAGAAAGAACCCACAGACTTTAGAGTACTTATGTTGTACAGAGTTTCTTAGAGCTCTAAAGAAAAGAAGAGGAACCAGAAAAAGCCACAAGGCCCCTGACCATGATTACAGGACTCTGTGTCAGCGCAGGGCAGAGCCAAATCCATCACTTAAGAAGATCTGACTGTGAGAGAGAGGTCTGTCCACGATCATACAGAGTCCTCATCTCCGATGCACTTTCCACGTGTTCTTCTCGAAGCAATGGTGCTCTTCAAAGTTGTGCATGACAATGTTCTAACCGACTCATTCATTTTTCTTTCATAATATCAAAGATGGTTTAACGTCATTTCTCCTCATTGATTGTGATGTTCAAGATTCAGCATTATTTCTCCATTCCACTTAATGCCTCCTCATTATTATGCAGTTAATGATAAATAAAACAATTTCATGGTGAAAAAAAAAGAAATATGAGGCTGAAATTTTCTCATGCTTATACTAAGCTCCACTCACTGACTGCCATTGAGTCAATGCTGACTTATAGTGACCCGCCTGTGGGTTTCCGAGACCGTATCTGTTTACAGGAGTAGAAAGCCCAGTCTTTCTCCCACCAAGCGACTGGTGGTTTTGAACTGCTAACCAATGTGCAACCACGACACCACCAGGACTCCCCACCCTAAGCTCTAGTATAATTTAAATGCTCCAATATTTGGGGAGGAGGCTCTATTAAACCAGAACAGGGCTGTCAGATGTAAAAATTTAGGAGCCTCTCTTATTTACTTTTCCTAAAAGCCTTCTGTCACAGTACCAACATCCCAGAATGATAGAAACCTCTCAGCCGAGAGGTGAACAAACCCCAGGCAGGGCTCCTGCTTCAGCGTGTATCAGCAAGTACCTGCTCCTCCTGGGTGTTGAC